TAAAGCATTGGAATCTGATTGCTAATTGAAGTTAATATCTGAAGTTAGTATAGTTAAGAGTCTATTAAGTGTTGCTTCAGATGGGAGTCCGTAGGTGAGGGCAAATGTAGCAGTGGGTAGGTGATTAAGTATCTGAATTTATATATTTTTTTAGTGTTTATTGTGAAAAGATTTTATGTTCGTATGATTAATACATGAGAAACTATCTGATGTAAGTAAATCTTTTCAAATTTTGATAAAGCTTTAAATGTCCCTGTTGTCTTTCTCAGTTTCTCTTACTAGCTTTTAGATCATCTCAGGTGTGCTACTCATAGTGGGTTCTTTCTAGCCTGATTCATCTTCGAGTTAGTTGAGTGTGTTTTTGTTCCTTTTTTTCTTCAGATTTTGCAATTTTTTTAATTTATTTATATTCTTTCCTTATCCTTGCGTAATTTTGATATTGTTTCTAAATTTTACTACTTCTTTTTAATATTATAATTTTGTTCTAATTTATCTATTTGTTTCTCCTTGGATGTAGCTAATGCCTCTTCTTCATAGTTTAACTATAGCAGTGCCTTGCGGTTGGTGCGTTCTATGGTGAGTACATTATTTTTTGTAATTTTTCAATTATATAAACTCAAGGATTTTAGTGAGGTCCGTTTTCCTTTCCTTATTGAGGGGCTGAAGCTGTGAATGGTTATTGAGTTACATTACAGTATCTTTGTTTTAGTATTTTGAGAAAGTGGGTTGGGAGTTTGAATAGGAATTTGGGTTAGTGGTCTCTCTTTCTCTTATTGGAGAAGCTAGTATATTCGGTTACTTTGGATGGGTGGGATTTTTTTATAGGAATTTGGGGTAGTAGGATTTTTTTATAAAACCCATCCACGAAGATTGGTTTTTAAGTATATATATATTAATTGAGTAGCTATTGTTGTTTATTAGTCTTGGTGTCCGATAAACTCAGGTCCAGGATGCGTATCAAGATTATAGATTGCATACACCGTTCTTGGCCTTTTGTTAAACAAGTTGTTTTTGGAATATATCACTGCTACAATGAACCATTACAAACTATAATCTAGAACAGTCTTTCTGATCTCTTACAAAAGACAATATTTAGTTAAACCAATCATAGCATCTTTATGACAAAACCATGCTCACTGGCCTTGTTCATCAAAACGAATAAACTAACGAAGGTAGTGGCTAAACAAGCTGAAGAAGGGAAGGTACATTTGCTAAGTTTTTTACACTTGAGATAGTGGACTTGCTGCTGTTTCTTACTAATTTAAGGGGTTTACTTCTCCTTGGAACTTTGATGGGTCTAGCACAGGGCAAGCTCCAGGGGAAGACACTGAAGTCATCCTATAGTATGATGCCCTTCTTGCTCTTATTTGTTTTCTTAATTTTACAAATAAAATTAAAAAATTAAAAAACCAAAAGCCCACAGGCTATTTTCAGGGACCCATTTAGGAGAGGCAGAAATATTCTTGTAAGTTTTTTCATTATGATTAACTGGCTTCTAATTAAGCAAGCATTTATTAATGAGTCATCAAAATCCACTATTGTGGTTCAGCAATTCATTTTATAGTAAAAATCTATAGGTGATATGCGATACTTACACCCCTGCTGGAGAGCCAATTCCAACCAACAATAGGTACCGTGCAGCCAAAGTTTTCAGTCACCCTGAAGTAGTTGCTGAGGAACCATGGTATGCTGAATTTCTGGTTTCCTGCTTTGGTTTTTTTAACCTTTCCTCATACGCTTCCAAAGTTTTTTAAAACCATGGTAGTTTTTTGTATATTCATTTATTTGCAACAGGTTGGCATCAAAGCAGAATGGAGAGCTCATCATGGGCATCTTGTTCTTTTCTTGGGGAACAAGAATACTTATCCTCTTGTCTCTGTTCAAGCTGTAATATTGCCTCCCAATCATTTGAAGATTGAGCTCTCACTAGTACCAGAAACTATACCTCCCCGGGAACAGGTGAGAAACCATTGCTACTGTAAAGTATTTTTTTCTAATTATGTTAGATTTATATATATTTTTCCTCTCATGGTTGCATAGGTGCAATGCCCACTTGAAATCATTAATCTCCACCCGAGCAGGGATGTGGCTGTTCTTGACTTCTTCTACAAGTTTGGTAACGCTATGGTACTTCAATTTAAACCTGTGTTTTATGTTCCTAATTTGACAAATCATTGAGAGATGATGCCCAACACAGTTAATCATGTACTGCATAAAAACAAATGTATGAAAATAAAGAGTTTGGTTAATTGCAACATTATTACTTCCATAAAAACAAATTATCTTGAGAGATGTCTCTAATTAAGTCCAACATGGAATCTTAAACCTTATCATGTTGATTTTGCTTCAAAGTTCAATTGGATAGTGGGAATTATTATCGAAGTTGTGATTTAGTGCAATTTTTTAGTTTATAGAAAACATGTTCCTTATATTAAACTGATCCTTGTTATTGAAGAAATCGAAATATCACAAAAATGATTGTAATAATAAGATTTTGAATTTCAATTGTAAGTTTGGGAAAATAGAGTTAAATTTTCAACGTGCAACAATTATGATCCCTGGTACTCAATGTGTGACTGCATACTCATCTGTGTCATTTCATAGGTCAATGCCAGACTTCGCCTTCCGGCTGTCCTGAATAAATTTCTTCAATCTATATTAGTATCTGTTGTGGAGTTTTTCCCTCAATGAAGATCACTTACTGGACCACCTTTAAAGGTTCAAGAAGTCGTATGCATTCTGAATTATGTACACCTAACATGCTATTAGGTGAAGTTTGTATATTTTCCAATTAGGCTGTGTTAATTTCAGCCAAGTTAAATTCAACCCTGCACATATCTTTCGTTGATTGACTGTCCTGTTTCTGATCATTGCAGTCATGGGTTCATTTTGTTTATTTTGCAGGTTAGAGGTGTTAGACCACTTCAACTGCTTGAATTGGCAAACTTTTTCAATAGTTACTGTTTGACCATTTGCCCAGGGCTTGTATGATATTGAAGTCCCACTTTTTTGCTTTTGTTCATTTTCCTGTTAATTCGTTAACACCTATATTTATTTATAATTTTTTTCTGCTTTCTATATGCCATAGGACCCCAATCCAAACAATCTTGTTGCAACTACAACATTCTATTCAGAAAGTACAAAGGCCATGCTCTGTTTGATAAGTATATATGTTGAACAACATATCTCATTGCAGTTCCTGCTAAGAGTATAATCTAGAATTCTTTAAGTAATCTTTTAAACGAAAATGAGGGGAAATGAAAGAAGCTATTTATCGCCTGCTCCAACTTCAGGATCATAAATGATTATTTTCTTTAACTGTCAGTTTTAGTAAGTACCTACGTGCAGACAGGGATGGAGTGGGGGAACTTTTTCTTTAAAAAGCTGTTATGTTGATTGATTGTCAACACTAAACTGTGATTAAACTCTGGTTTTATTACATTTGCCATGCATTCATTATTGAACTTATGCAATTATTCTGCATTTCTAAAATCATGGAAATGATACAATTGATTATTGAAATTTGAGATAGTTGCTTTAACATTTTATTTAAATGATGTTCAGGTAAGAATTGAAATCGATCCAGCAGACAGAACCCAGCTGCAAATGATAATAGAGCATTTTTGTCATATGCAGAGGAATAGTGCAAGCATGAGAACCTTTAATGGCTAGCAAAGTTGAAAACAAAGTTTTGAATGGCTCAGGTAGCAACTTTAAAGAAGGAAGTAACACATCCATGCCTGAATTTAGAAGGAGCAGGTCTACCCCACGTGGAAAGTTTTTTGGTTTATCTTGAGGATTTCATGTTAAACAAACAGCAACAGTTTTTTTTTAATATAAATTATTTATTTTTGTATAGGAACTACCTCTAATGCTGGAGTTCCATCTCACGTAGTTTTATACAAACTTTTGAGGTCTTGAGGTTAATTTGTGCGACCATTCTCTTGTATTTAAGCATGTTTTGTAATTTAAAACTTCGTTTATCAATATATATTTCTTAAATCATTGAGTTTTCTAAGGTATTTACCATATTTTCCAAAGAAGTTGCCAGTTAAAAAATTATATTAATTGAAACCACCAAAAAAATTAATTAAAAAAAAGGGGCTATCAAAAAAGAAAGAAAAAGAATTACATGATTTAGCGGCGGTTCTAAACCGTCGCTATCAATGAAAAATTATTTATTATTTTTTTTAATTGGTGGCGGTTTCTATACATTCAGCGTCGGTTGTATATTTCGCATCGGTTATTCCGACGGTTGCAGTAAATCGTCGCTAAATTATTCTACGTCGCCAGTTTCTGAGTCGGTTTTCAATTGGCCACTGATTATTTTAGTGGCGGTCCAAACCGTCGCTAAATCCAAAAAAAACCGCCGCTAAATCCCGCTTAATGTAGTGAATAAATTATCAATAAGGGCGACTATTCATTATAAGTTCTAAAAATAAACAATTAACGTTAAACAGTTACCTTATGCTGTAATGTCATTTCAAATTGTCGATCCTTATCATGCGGAGGGTTCTCTAGTCTTATTGACGAAAATAGAACAATAATTAATTATAAAATTCAAATGAAATCATTCCAAACGATTTATAAATCCCAATTGCAAATAAATTAGTTATTTCATTTTGAGTTTTGACTTTCCAATAAATTAATGTCAACATCAAATGTTCCTCTAGCTTTGAAAACGATTCATTCTCGTACAAGGGTTGACCCGTAAATATAGCTATCAAGCACAAGAACCGCAACTTAGAATCAGCAGTATCGGGGAATATTTAGATAGATAGTGAATTGGTAGATATATAAATAAATCTTTTTTTCTTTGAATTTTCTTTTCACTAATTGCACTGAACAACAAACTGAAATAAAATAAAAACATGAGCAAATATTCCAAGTGATACATAACATGAATAGTTGTTTTTATTATACGCATATAGCCATATCCTTGTGTATAAATTCATATTTGTGAACTCACATTTCGTAAGGTACAAAGATTCATATTAGACTCATAAATTACGATATGTAAAGAAATAAGGGGTGCTACATTTGGTGACATTGAAAGGAGATGCTGATTTACCATTTGAAATCAAAGGAACACTCAATTGACGACATTGCACAGTGGGTGGATTGAAACTTTTACTCTTGAACATTCCAACATACTTGAATATAACTTCAAAATCCAAATCCACATCCAAGTCATTGTATATCCCAACACGTGTCTCCTCATTGTACTCACCAAGTTGTTTAGGTTTGAGATTGAATACTTTGTTTCCATCAAACATTGTAGTTTGAAGGAAGCTAGTCTTCTTTTTGCCTTGGTCAAAGGGTGCCAAGCTAATATTATTAGCAAAGTAGTTATGTTTGTACCAAACACTTGCTCTCATCACCCTATAATACACTATGACATTGTTGTTGGGGTTTCTCACTGTGATGTTGAGTTTGAAGTTGTAATATAAGGTGGTGTTGTTGTTGAGGTTGAACTGTGTGAGAGAGGCTTCAGTTACATAGAAATTGAGGTTTGAGGGGGCAATGATTATGAAGAAGAAGATGACAAAAATGATTGATATGAACGAAAGAGCATAGGGTGTCCAAAAGATGCAGCCGAAGTTGAAGTGGAATCTGCAACGCATGGTGAGAGGCTCTATTTGTGAGTGTGTGATAGTTGGTAGGAGAAGCTCAAGCTGTTTGATAGAATATGGTGTAACATGTATGTTTATGCCTATTTGTAGGGGTGTAAACATTTTCTTGAGGCATTGACTTTTGAAGCCAAGAACTATTCAATGGTTTGAGTAAACATGGAAAGTCAAATTTGGTTGTAGAGATAAAGAGCAAAATATTAGATTTGAAGATTTTAGAAATTATTATAATCATTGTACTCCCTTTAAAAAACTATTTGACTTCTTTCTAAAATTATTGGTTTGAGTAATAAAGGTCACAAATTTAACAATAAAAGTTATAGATTTAGTAATAAAAATCTGTAACTTTTATTGTCTAATTAGTAGTTTTTTTTAAACCTAATTTTAGTATTTGACATAAAATTTATAGTTTAAAACAAATATGACAATTTTTTATTTTTATTTTTGGAAAAGAATTACGTACCTTAGTACATCCTAATGTTTTTGTGTTGCTTTACTTCTTTCTTAAAATACTCTTCAAGCTTTGTTCAAATATGACAAATGAAATTCACATGTTTAAATTAAGAACATAAAAATTCAGTTTTGTTATAAGAAAATGGTTATATTTACAAATTTTTTGTTTACAAAGTACATTATGTACTCTTGGATGTACACTAGGTTATATACTATATACTTCCAGGAGTACGTAATGTAATTTGTAAAAGTTTATAAAAAATATTATAAACGGATCATTCCCCTTGTTATAATATATGGAGAAAGTTATACTTATAAACTTTTTGTTTACAAACTCTTATAAATTACATTATATACTACCCCTAATACATAGTGTAGTTTGTAAGAATTTGTTAAAAAAAATATAAATATAACATTTTCCATAATATATATATAACATATATTTTGGAGAAATATGCTTCCAACGGAATTCAAATCCTCTCGATACCTGTAACACCCCATTACCGGACCGGTGTGTTATCATCAAATATGATATTAAGCGCAGTTACAATCACAGTGATCAATTAAAACTACGGATAAACTTTTTCACAAAAACATTGTTGATTTACTTTTTAAAACAAAATCGTACTTAATATAACCAAAACCGTAATTGCAACCATGTAACATTCTCTAAACTGAGACCACTACACTTAACCAATAACTTTAACCTTTTCATTATGTAACAAATGGATATTACAATAACCATTTGGCTAGGTATAGCCGGAGTTATTAAACTCGCAACGTAGTTGACAAAATTGAACTTCAGGAATTGGAGCATCAACATTAATCCTAAACTGACATTGATATACTCATCCAATGGCTCTAAGATTTTACAGGGTTATAGCTCTATGTGTTAGCTTCACATAAATTCAAACCTCACTCAATTTGGAGCTCGATAGCTCGAGTTATGCCGATTTTACTAACCTACATTCGTGTTGAAAACAAGTTGCGTGCTTAAGCGCGCTCTTCGAACATTTATTTTGCCCGGTAGAGCGCTTAGCGCACTCCAATGCGCTTAAGCGCGCACAGGAAGAAGAAATTGGTCATCTACAGGTCTTTAGCACGCTTTAGCGCCATACTGGGTGCTTAAGCGCCCAGAGGCAGAGAAGTTTACTTATTTCTCGCACAAAGCGCGCTTAAGCACTCAGATCAACGCGTAAGCGCCCTCCACCTGGGGCAAACTTGGTTTTCCCTGTTTTTGGTGATTTTCTTCGGGAAGTTTCATTCCCCCTTCATTCTCCAAGGGTCATAACACCTAATTGACAAGGAAAGGCCAACCATGGTCACACACCATGTGGCACCTACATCCCACAATCACTTCACCAAATCATCATGCAAATGAGAATGATAAACATAACTTCATATTCATCAATATATTAAAGTTTCAATTACATCAATGCTCTTCCAAATTTCACATACATGCCAAAGGACTTAGCTACCAAAATAAGCATGATCAAAGCAATTAGCCATATACCAAATACCAATTACTACTACAATGATCATGCACTAAGTCCTCCGAAATACATCATATGGCCTTAAAATAAATACATATAAAACAATTCTAAATGGCATGTAACTCAAAATGTCCAACTATCAAGTACAACCTACTCCTGCTTCTTGCCTTGTTCAGTCTCACCTCTATCAATACCAGAAATGATACCCCACAACATGAGGTGAGATATACAAATATATCACAGTAAACCAGGGATCCTTGGAGATAACTCCACCATAAGGTTCACTTTCGGTGTACACATAATCATAACAGCTTAACACATTCTTATCCATACACATCACATGGACTTCCAAGAGATATCCACGAAGGGTTGTTTCTCTTAGGCTCTTACCACATAGAGATCCACATAGGGCTGTTTCTAAGGGAAGTCCCTAACCTCAATCTAAGAACCTCCAAGAGAGATCCACATAGGGCTGTTTCTCTTGGGCTCTGACCATATGGGGATCCACATAAGGCTGTTTCCAAGGGAAGTTCATACCAATCATCCTCATCATAATACTATCAATCATAACCTCAATCAATATTTACAGTCAAATGTCACCATAACAATTAATAATCAATCCGATCATTAAGAAATCATAACATTTATCAATGCATGAGCATATATTTACTATTATCATTACATATCACACCTATAAACCATTCCTCCTCCATGGAGTATGGTGGATTACTCAAGGGGATCAACCCCAAGATCCGAAGGTTTACCTTGCACTTGAACTTTCCTCAAAGCTTTCCTTTCCTCAATTGAACACAACCACAAGGATTGGTCACTCCACTTGGTCCATTTGCCTCAATCCTATCAATACCAGGGACACCATCAAACATACAACCAACCAAGGCTAATAATGCAAGAAAATCCTTAATTTCAAGTATAGATTTCTTCAAATATCAAAGTATACTAAAATGACAATCTAAACTTATTTCTATCGTTTATTTATTATTCCTAACAACATTTTCAAAGGAATTTAGCCTTAATCTTACTCAAACTCATAAAACCCACAAAACACTAATCATTGTCTTCAACCTCTAGAAAACTCCAGGAAAACTAGGTTGGAGAAGTGGAAACTTACCACAATAGGTGATAAGTCTCCAATTTACTATGTATTAAGGGTCAATATGAGCATGAAATTGATTTAAAAGTAGTTAAAAGTTATGAGAATTATAATTAAATTGTTATTTTATTCTCAATAATATTCTCATAAGATTTCTAATATTTTGCAGTAATTTCAGCTCAATAAAAAGATAAACTGGAGATATCAAGGAGAGTTGCTTTGGATTTCTGAATCATTCAAGATCTTATCAAATCTTTGTTGAATATTTTTAAGTAAAATTTTTCATTAAATAAAAGGGGAAGATTTGAAGGATTTAATCAAAGATATGATTAGAGATTCTAGTGAAGATTCTATTGAAGATATGATCAAGATTTCTAAGCAAGGGTACAAACTCTATAAATAGAGACTCAGACCCCAGAAGAAACAATCTTTGGCTGAAGAGAATTCTTGGAGGCTCACGCTGGAGATCAGGATTCCGACGGAGTTGAAGAACGAAGACCATTGATCCTTCATCTTCTTTTTCTTCTTTTTCTTTATTGTTTTATGACTACTTTTTATTTCTTTAATTGGTTTAAGCCAGCTATGTCTGGCTAGTTTGTTTTTGTAGTTGGGATCACGGACCCAATGTGAATCCTTTATAATTTCTATATTGTTTTTATAAGTTAATTAGTTAGTTTGTTTTATTCTGCCTGTGTTAATTTTTTCATATCCTTGTTAGAACTGATCACTCTAATTATAAGACTTTGAGGGTTAGGACTCACAATAGACATATTGAGGTTTTAATCTAGACAAGGGTATAATAACAATTTGTGCATGACCTAGACACAGGCTTATATAGATTGCAGACTTTTAATTCATTTTCTTAATGCTTAATTCAAGATGGATTACTAAGACATTAGAATTCTGATTGGGTTAAAGGGTTGAAATCACTAAGATATTAGGGTTCAACTATTTTATAGGGAAATAATGAATTGTTTGAGCAAACCAATTAGTTAATTATAAAATACAATATAGGAATATAAGGGAGGATCGGAGGTGAAGTGCATCCTGGCTACAACCTTTTTACAAATTTTTCACCAAGATTTTCTTAACGTTCTTGATACTCTTGCATGCGTTCAAATTTAATTGTTTTTAAATTTTCTGTTTTAAATTTAATTGTTTTAAATTCTGTTTTAAAATCTCAAACTCAATTACTTTCACAATACAAACAAATTTTCTTTTCCAACTTAAGGAGAATAGTTGAATTAATACTTGGTGCATTAATCCTCGAGGGAACGATCTTTACTTATCACTTTTATTACTTGAAACGAACGGTATACTTGCCGATTTCGCAACAATAGGTCACACAACCATGGAATAGGGATCTACTAAGCTCCCATAGATGAAAATATCCTCAAACTCCTCCAATCTCCAAAGAACTCGAAATCTTTGGAGGAAAAAATCTCTCTCCACAAGGCTTCCCACCCAAAATCAAGCTAGGATTTGCAATGAGTGAAGGATTCTCTACGTTTTTGGCTTTGGAATGGATGCATTTGGTTGAGAAATGGGGAAGCTAGGGTTTGCTCCTCAAATGATTTCGATCCTTCTCCCTCTCTCTGTTTCACGCATGGAAGAAGAAGAAATGAGGAAAGTGGGGCTGATTTTTCAACTTACATATGTTAATTAAGTTATTTTAACCGAGTATAAGCTTATCTATCTATTCACCTCCATTCACTTCCAAACTTTACTCTATGGACTAGAATATTTTTCTAGTTATGTTCCTATTTTTACTTTTACCTTTTGGGTAATTTTGTCTACACACATTTTTACCCCATAATTCTCACTGATTGCACTTTTTACCTCGAAGTGCCCTTAACTCATTAATTTTAGCTTCTTACTTAATTCTTCCCAGTTATATATGCTTAATTACTTAATTACAAGTAATTAATTAAATTCTTAAGTTAGGGATATTATAATACCGATTCCTCTTGTCTATAAATAAAATAATGTCAGCTAAAGTTCTATTTTATTTTGTGACTTAATTTATATTAATCTTAAATTAATATAAATTTGTAAAAAAAAGTTGATCTCAATCTATTCGATACAGGATTTGAGACCCAAGCCAGGAAGGATACAAAGGGTCCAACATTTAGGGATGTGTAAAATAACCAAAAAAATTGAACCGAGTCGTGAATTGAACTCAACTGTACTTAAAATAATCGGTTTTGTTTTGCCAAAAAATAAATAATAACCGATTAAAAATAATCAGTTCATAAACCGAATTGGTTTTTGAAACCAGTTCAAGAATCGAACCAAACCAAACTTTTTTCGAACTGAACTGAATTGATTTGTATTACTTTATTTCTTTAATTTTTTAATTATTTTCTTTTCAGAATAAGTTCGACTCGAACCGGTTCCGAACCGAATCGAACAATTTTCGAACTGAACTAAATCGATTTCGAATTGAATCGTTTAAAACAATTCGGTTCGATTTTTAAAAAAATTTGATTCAATTTGATCCATGCACACCCCTACCAACACCTAAGACTTGAGACTGCATACTTTGGTAATTCCGCAAGTATTTACACATGACATGAGTAGCTCAGTCCATTGTGGTTACACAACATCAACAACTCAAGATTCTCTATACATTGGTAATTACACAAGTATTGACACATGACATGAGTAGCTTAGTCCATTGCGGTTACACGACATTAACAACTCAAGATTCTACAACCTCCCTGCACATGCTTCTAGCTACATCTATAAGGTGTAGACTACCAGTAGACATCTTAAAAACGGGATCACTTGCATAATCCACATACGTGCACCAATGAAATTAAGTATCACCATATCAAGGCAACATAAGCAAAACAATTAAAAACTATATAAATAAAGACTTAAAGCCCAATTATGAGCATATTTCCCATCTTGATTGAAGCTTATCCTACACTTATTGACTTGACTATCAGAGTACTTTGCATGTGCCTCCCTCAGTCTCTCAAATCAACTCAGAGATCTAATCTCAAACACTACATCCTGCAGAGCATCTCGCAGAATTGTTAAGGTATCCCTCAAAGATTTCATCTCAAAACACCAATCATGGCAAGACTTAGAGCTCCAGTGAATTAGGATCAGCCATATGCGATCCAACCCAATTGTTATTGGAGTGATCAAAAATTAAATTAACTTATAAAATTATTTACTTTGTTAGATTTTATAGAATTTTTAATTTAAATTTTTTTGAACAAATCCTGATAATTTAAAACACTTTTTATTAAATTTATGTAAGTAGCTAAGTTCATTAAGATAAAATTTTAAAATTATAAAGAATCATTAATGAATTTTAAACTACTAAAATTTATATTATAAAATTCAAAAAATAAAAGCCCTACATATTAACCTAATAAAAAAAGGGGGAATGGTCCATTTACAAAAAAAAAATAATAAATTTTTGCAAATTATACTGTGTACTCTCGGAAGTACATAGTGTACCTAGTATACTTACGGGAGTACATAGTGTAATTTGTAAGAGTTTGTAAACAAAAAGTTTGTAAATAGAACCATGGATTTAATGTTTCTATAGTGAATATGGATAAGTTATCGACATTCGCTCCCAAAATGACGTCGTTTTGAGTTAAAAAATTAAAAAATTATAATAAAAAAGACTATTATAACCCTCAAATAAATAATAATTACAAAAATACCTTGAGTTTTGCCTCAAAACGACGTCGTTTTTGGCTAAATGTAGATAAGTTATCTACATTGACCGTAGAAAAAACAAACCCTATAACCATCCCAATAAAAAAATTGTTGTATACCCCAAAATAAAAACATTTCTTCCATATTTCGTAGTTTACATCTTTTATAGACTATGAGTTTGATTTTATTTCCTATCCATATATAAAAATATGTGGGACTGATATGGGCATATGTAAAGCGAAAAGAAAGAAAAAGAAAATATGAGCCTCACGCACTTTTATAAATGTACAGGAGATAAAATTATTTCTAATAATATGAGAAATATTAATCCTCACTATAAAATAAAAATAAAGAGAAAAAAAGGAATAAGAAAATATGATTCTCTCGTATATTTATAGGGTAAAAGATTTATCTGGTCAATGAAGATAAATTATCTATGGTGAGCTCAAAATAACATCGTTTTGTGGCTGAAATCAAAGTGTTTTTTGTAATTCTAATTTATTGCAGGTTATATTAATTTTTATTATTATAATTTTTTAATCTTAAAATTCTAAAATAATGTCATTTTAAGTTCATTGAGAAGAATTTTTTTTTTTTTTCATTTTTATATATGTATATCTCATATAAGATACGATACATCAATCCCTTGATTTTAATATGCAAAAAAAATATATATATATATATATAAAATTATAAAATTACTTGAACCCTTCTAAAACCCTTATATTCCCATTAATCGTTCATTATCAGCAACTTAGTTTTCTCTTCTCTTGTGAATATGATGTTGTATCAAATTCCTTCTCGTGCATTTCAGAACCAAAACCTATTATCCATGCCATTGATTCACACACCACCAACCTGCTATGCTAACCTCGACCCACTCACCAATTATTCCTTTCCCTCCAATGCATCATCTTCCACTGTTACTTTTGCTACCTTTGGATTCAGTGTCACTGGCACCAGGTTTATGCACAAAATGGGTCATACCCACAACCCAAGTTTTGTTCCTTCCACTGCCAGGAATCGGTCGCGTGCTTCAGTAATCAGAGCTAAAGCGGGAACCGATTACTATTCCACCTTGAATGTTAGCAGCAATGCTACGCTGCAAGAAATCAAGAGCTCCTATCGGAAACTAGCTCGCAAGGTTCCATTTTTTTATTTTTTATTTTTTACTGGGTTCTGGAATTTTTCGTGTATTTTGATGAATTTAGTGGTAATTTTAATGGGTAATGTTTGGTTTCTGTGGAAATGGAGCAAAAGGAGGGAAATTGGAATCTGGGGTGTCAGGTTTCTAGGTCATTTCTGTGGAATTTATGCTTAACATTTTTCTTTTCAAGTTAATTTCTAGCTTCTCGATGTCAATGATCTGCAAAAATTGCAGATGAAGTCTTTTTTTCCCTATATTTCAAGGGGTATGCTTGGTTGAGTGGAAAATGATAAGATGAAAAAATTGTAATGAAAATCACTTTATAGTTTGAACTTTGAACTATGAGGCATAGCTTTGTCTGAAAATCGATTTCATTTGGCTTCTATTTTCTACTTACCATTTTCAAACCTACTCTCAACCAATTAGACCTTTTTGGCATGAAGATGACGAAGCATCCTTTTTGTAAGATGTAGGCATGTAGCTTTCTGAGAATCCTTTTATTGGTTTTTCTGTTCTTTTTGTAGCCAAAATATGTTTCCTTAAGAAACTACTATCTTCATCTCAACTATGTTTGCTATCTTGTCTTAGCCTATAGTAGTTTGTAATATACAACTTCGGGTCTTGTTTGTTAGTTATTGAACCATTCATGTGTCTTTACCCAACAACTTTATATGAGAATGTTGGTTCATGACATGTTATTAGAGCTTCTATGACCATGTGGTCTAGAATTCAAATTCAATCCTTGTTGTCCCCATTCTTCTAAATAATAGTTAAATTTCAGCACAATCCACACTTCAAGACCAAAAGGCTTTTGCATGAGGGGACATGTTAGATATAAAACCATTAACATGCCTTTACCAAACAATTTAACTTTTGGAAAAGTTTGTTCACAATAGTGTTTTTATTTTTGGGATCAGTACCATCCAGATATGAACAAAAGCCCTGGGGCAGAGGAGAAGTTCAAGGAGATAAGTGCTGCATATGAGGTAATTCTTCTTCCCCCTAGAATGATACTTTTTCTATTGTCAGCAACATATGCTCTGGCAGGACATATTTTGGAATCATTTAAGGGGCTTCTTCTACATTCTTGGCACCATGCATAATCTTATTTTATCTTCTTTTTTACTATTGTATTTGCTTATGATCTGAGCATTGGCATTGTAATCTTTTCTCTGTTGGATATAAGGATGGATTAGAGTAATTTATGGATAATTGTATTACTTCGTGGATGATAACTGCTTATGTACTATATGTGTATCTGTCCCATTTTATTCACATGGTGACAAAGCATGCGTATAGGTCCTATCAGATGATGAGAAAAGATCTTTATATGATCGCTTTGGTGAGTCAGGTCTACAAGGAGAAAACGGAGTGTCAGCCAGTGCTTCAGGGGTATGTGTATATTCCAATCATCTGCTTTCTGCAATGTCAAAATGAAATAAAGACTCTTTGATATGATGATATAGTTCTGCGGAATTATCATCTGTTTCTTTCTTTTCTTTTCTAGCCTCAACACTTCTTATTTTATTTTACTGCTGATGCCTTTTGAAATGATCAGGTTGATCCTTTTGACTTATTCGATGCATTCTTTGGTCGTTCGGATGGACTATTTGGAGATAGTGATGGAGGGGGCATCAACTTCGATTTGAGAAATAATAGAAACCATGTTCATGATGTTCGGTAACTATCTTCACAATTTGATTTTGTCTCTTGTTACAGGGATAGGCAGTTGACCGCAGCATACGCATATGCTTACTATGACTAATTTCTTTGAGAATTAACTGAATGATTATAGGATACTGCCTTAATGACTGTGAGTTGTGAAGAGTTTTTTTTCTCTCTCTCTCTCCTGCCCAAAGGAATTTTTTTTACATGTGTGTAAAAAGAAGAAAATTATCTAACAACAGATAAAAGAACTCCAGGGAGGAGAATAAGGTAAGATCTAGAAACAAAATTAAATAAACAAAGAAGAAAGGAGAACTAAAACAATGAAGCTCTCCAATCTCTTTGAATGATAATTGATACCTATAAAAGACCATGAGCCAAGCACCAAAACGCAGCCAGAGGAACTTATCTGCTGTGTAATAAATTTGCAAGAAAGCATATCAAGTCTACGAAGTTTTACTATTTCTACCATAACAATCAATAACTCAATCACTGAAAGAGCCTCAATAGTTGCAAGAAAAAAACATGTTAACCAGTAAGTGTAAGCACTAAATAGTGGTTACCTATATTCCAAACCTCCATATGATGCATGAACAAGTAGTGGTTTTGTGTATCTGAATTACTAAATCTCCTGATACAGATTCCAACAGAGTTTTGTGGGGTGTACTATTCTCTAACAGGTTACTAGTGTTGATCTTATTATGGAATATGGATTATGGGCCAGGGAAAAAACTTTAGCATTCACTGAGGCCTCAGAAAGAGGAAAATGAGTTGCAGTCAGAATAAAAATAACATAATTGAGAAGAGAATTACAGCGGAGGGATGGAACTCATCCAAAAGTCGGACTCTACTCTAAAATATGGTTTACTAGAGAAAAAAATTACGAAAGAAACAAAATGATGACAGAAGAGGATACTGTTATACATAATTACATACTCATCTTGTATGTGTCTTGTTTCACTTTGTTGTGCTGTTCTTTGAATTAATTACACTTTACTCTAGAACGAAGGAATAAAAGCAAGAATAAGAATGTTCTTTTTATTATGTTTATGCTCAATTCAATTTGTTAAATAGAGATTATTTTAACCATCTATTAGAAACAAGTTGTCAGTGAAAGACCCAGTATGATTTTAGTCTAGTATATTATGAGTTTATGAGAGGGCAAGCCTTGGATTAGCGGTAAGGTTGTTCCTTTGCGACCAGAAAGTCACAAGTTCGAATTTGGGAACAGTTTCTTTGCAAAATAGTTCAAGGATAAGGTTATGTACAATCGACTCTTATCTCTACCCTCACAGAGTTGTGGAGTCTTATGCACCGGGATTTGCCCTTTGCCCTTTTATATCATGAATTTATGATATACACCTAATTTGATTGATATATGGATACTTAGTGAATTATCAGAATCTTTACATATTGTGCATTAAACCATTAATGCATTAAACCATTAATGCATTAAGCTAGAATTCACTAAGAAGCAAGAATATAGCCAGAGTTGCTCTTCGCCTCCAGAAGATATTTATGCATGTTATTTCAAATACCTGTGTGTAAAATGCCAACAAAATTGAATAAAATTTATGGCATTAACTTTATTTTATTCTATGATGTAGGTATGACCTTCATTTGAGCTTTGAAGAATCAATTTTTGGAGGAAAGAGGGAGATTGAAGTTTCTTGTTTTCAGACCTGTAATGGTTGTGAGGGTACAGGCGCTAAATCAAAGAATTGCATTAAACAATGCGCAAATTGTGGTGGCAGAGGAGGAGAAATGAAAAGTCAGAGAACACCCTTTGGAGTGATGTCTCAAGTAATTTAACTTAAAAAGATTTTATCAGTTAATGACTATATTGCCAATTATACCTAAATTACCTGAGTAACAAGGAGATATTTATATCATGTGATATTCAGGTTTCTACCTGCTCTAAGTGTGGTGGTCTTGGCAAGACAATCACTGATCACTGTCGAATGTGTGATGGCAGTGGTAAGGTGGAATCGAAACGAACAATGAAAGTGGTCATTCCTCCTGGCATCAGTGATGGAGACACAATGCAAATTCGAGGAGAAGGGAATTTTGATGAGAAGAGGTTAGCAGCTTGCCAATGGATGTTTTGCTTCCATCTATAGACCCCAATAGGATAATTGCTTGTTTGATTACTTAAAGCTTTGCTTAGAAAATTTGAACTATAGAATGTAACTGCAATACATGAACGTGCAGGATGTTTAAATTCTTTTGCTTAACATTGACTTGATTATACTGCGACCTCGGGGGTGAAATATAGTTGGGTATAATAAAAGGAAAATAGTTGTAACATAGACTGCAACGTAGAGCTTCTTCACCTTGTTTTTTATTAATTAAGTAAATATGAAAATTTTTCTACATATGGATGGTCAAGTTGCCAGGACAAATTTATGGTTTTCAGCTAATGCACCAAGTACCATGAGGTCACCATTCAAGGACCCAAAGATTTCCTATTATCAATATGAAGAACTGCCCCATTTCATTCCTTTATCATTAACTATCTATTTTACTGCTAAGTTAACAACCTGTGCTTAATACCATGATTATTTATTGATGACAAATTAGCGCAAAAGTGATATTACTTAATCTGAGACCCAAGAGAACTTGTTTATAAATAAAATTGGGTCTCATTTTCAAGATACTATTGATTTGCAACCAGAAGCAGAAATGTATTCATAAGCACTATGAATTCAACTCATCTAAGTGCTAAATAATAATTTGGTGCATTTTTCAGGCATATTACTGGGGATCTTTTTGTTGTTCTCCATGTAGATAAAAAACAAGGAATTTGGAGAGAGGGTCTTCATTTGTACTCAAAGATTAACATTGACTTCACAGATGCAATACTGGGGTCTGTTAAAAAGGTAATATTAGTTAACCCAAAAAAACAAGTAGCATTGGTGGTACAAAATGTAGAAGCATTGTGATCTAGATATAAAACCATCTCATGTGCTTTCACCCAATAGCTTCAGCTTTTGGGAGAGTTGGGTCATGACAAATAATTGTAAATCATCCATGTGGTTATGGACACACATGGTCATGATTCGATAGGCATTTTTGGTGATTTCCAATAGTATATTCCCAATATTTTATGTTTGCAGATTCTTTTCTAACACAGAGAAGCCCATGATATTTATCCAATTTCTTATATGCGCTATATAGGCAGCACATATAAAGTTTAATCATTGTAGACTACCCAAAAAAAAAAAGTTTAATCGTTGTCTATGTCTTTTCCCATAATTTGGTTCTTCAACCATTCATAATATTAAGGAATGTCCTGCGGCTTTGCCTTTGAAGGTTTTTTTTACTTCAAACTTTGGTAACTTCAGGTAGAAACTGTTGAAGGTTTAAGGGATCTCCAAATTCCTTCCGGGATTCAGCCTGGAGATTCAGTGAAGTTGTCACGTTTGGGAGTTCCAGACATGAATAAACCATCTACTCGAGGGGATCATTACTTCATTGTGAATGTTCTCATTCCTAAAAATATCAGGTCTGTATTTTTCTTACCATCTTTTCTTCTTTCTAATATACCTAGAGAAACAGTTTATCATTGATTGTCTAGTTTAAGAGTTTCACGAGTATTGGAAACTTGTGAGTTTTGTGGGAGCTTCTGTGTAGAATACTTGTGTACTTTGATTGCGGTTCCCAAGAGCATCAATTTTAAGAAAATATTTTATTTACGTACTACTAGTTAAAAACCTGAGCCTTTATTGCCCTTTATACAGATTGTATTTAATGTTGCTGTTGGAGAACACATTATTCCTTGTCTATAGTCCCAGCAGTTGCTATTAGAATTTGAGTTTTCACTTAGCAGTAATCATTCACCTTGAAAGACGTCATGGGTTCTCTGAATAGAACTGCTGAGTTTGAATTTCCTTACATGGCAAAAGTTGGTTTAGTATCTTGAGTAACATATTGCTTCTCAGTTTACAATCTACCATATGCATGATGACTTCCTGATAAATGAATACTTTGTTACCTATTTATCCTGAAGTTTCTTATGGTTGTGATTTCTTTTCATTAACCTCAAATCCTGCTTGTTCTAGTGGCACCGAACGTGTACTTGTTGAGCAGTTAGCTTCGCTAAGAGCATCTAGCAAAGGCAATTCAGTGTCTTCTAATGACATTGGTAATAGTTCATTTTACTCAGATACTTTTGGATTAAAGTATAATAGGTTAAATTACGCTAACATAAATGAAAAAATAAAGAATATTCAGGATTTTTTGCGACTGTTCTTTCCAGGGAGACGTAAAGGAAAATTTAATGAATTCATAAAGAGGCATCCAAAAGATGAAGCTTCAAGCAAGGGAATAAAAAATGTTGGTTCTCTATGGAGATCAATCAAGAACTTCTTAAGGTATGTCTCGGTAGAGCTGTGCTAGATATGTGCTAATTGTTATTGAATATAAACAATCATGAATAGTTTCACATGAATGTTTAGAATTGCACTATTTTAGCAAGTAATTACACAACAGTTTCTTCTCTAGAACAAAGCAAGAAGGCTATACCATCATTCAGAATTACATGACATTAAGATTCTTGAAGTTCTAAAACTATCTTTTAAGCAGAAACCATTCATGAATAATGTAGATAAGACACTTGCCCTCTTGATGTGCAGGGGAGGACATTCTGAAGAAAGGTTTGCTTCAATTAGCCTGGATACATCAGTGTCATTGTGGAGATTTGGCCACGAAAATCATTCAGTCTCAAATTCCTTTTTTGTTGTTTTCATTATAACTTGGATTTTTGCGTCTATAGCAAAATCTGAGTACTCGTTATTTCAGAAAAGAACCCAGTCCTTCATAAATAGAACACACGGTGAAAAAAATTAAGGGTATGCTTAGCTTGGTAAGAAAAGTGGAAAATAAGAAGGGGAGTGAAGGTGGAATGGGATGGAAAGGTTTTTATTTTCACTGCTTGGTGCTTGGTAGAGGATGTATTGGCATAAAGTGGTTGAAAAATCAATTTTTGGCTTATTTTCTAGCTATAAGATACCAATTGAGAGAGTAGAGTGAAAACGAGTTCCACTCCAGTCCACTTTGAAAGGCCCCAGATTTTTGTTATACCGAGCAAGTGTTAGTGATTTCCTTCCAAAATTACCACCTGTCTACATCTAGCTCAAGTACACCCTAAAACATTCTGTTTGAGCTAAGATGAGTGAGTACAACTCACCTTCTTTTATGCTCTTACCTCACCACATGGTAGACTGGGCACGATTATTCATTTGAGCTGTTTGCTCCAATGTGAGGAACTATGTTGAGGATTAAATTGTAATCTCTAACAATCTTTGGCGGCTTATGTTGAGACATATTCCTGTCTTCTACTTTTAAGATGAGAATCCTGAACATTTGTAAAGTTGCTAGAGAAAGTGAAGAGATAGAGTTATTTGTTGTGAAGTTTTCAAATATGATGTTTGTTCCCATTGCTATCATATTTCCCCTGAACTGAATTTGTTGGGGGAAGACTTGCTATGACAAAAAACTAAAAAAATAAATAAATAAATCACTCTCTATTAAACTCCGACTAAAGAGGGTGGGGCGAGAGTAATTCTTGTACGCAGCCTTACCCTTGCACGTTTTCAAAGAGGTTATTTTCTCATGAACAACAGCAATGTATTTATCATGTTAATTATAAGTGCATATATGGTTGACTCTTATTTTTTCTGATCGAAGTATTAAGATTGGAGAAATCTGCATAAGCAATTGAAGGCAGCACAAAAAATGTGATTTTGGTGTCCAACTAGTAAGGCAAAAATGAAAACTACCTTAAATAAGTGGTAGTTAGTAGTTACTACTACTAATAAGGAACATTTCCAACTCATCATTTGCTTGTGAAGAATATGCAATCCATGCTAAATATGGTTGAGGTGTTCCCCTCCCCCTCCCCTCCTGGACATTTTATTTTATTCATGTTAAGAGACCATGTGTCATGCATTGATGGGAAATGGCATATTGAACTTGCAAATGTAATGCAATGGTTACAAAGAAGCTATAATTTCTGTTGTTTTCGTGTGAAAATTGAAACTGGATAAACTCTTTATGGAAGTAATCGAAGTGATGGTTTTAAGTCTCATTCATGATAATGCCGTATAAAACGAAATTGATCTTTCTCGGACCCTTGCTGCAAAACTATAAATTTCTCATGGGATTTAGCAAAAGTTGAGTCTTTATTGATCTTAAATATTTCAGTGAGATGTTATATGACCATGGTTGAGAAAAAAGTTGCGGTTTTGATGAGTACTTTGATAATCTAAAATAAAATATACACAAGTAATCAGGGTGGTTCTATTATCTCTGACCTAACCCAGGTTTCTTTACAATCTGGCACATGTATGTTGGCAAGCATCTAATGGCCTCTGGTCTACAAGGTGTTGTGGTACACAACTCATTATTAAATAATGGTTTGGCCATGTCCTATGCTTAACTTTCCTTGAAATATAAGCTGCATCTGAATCTGTCCACACAAAACTTGTTAGTATTCTAGTATCTTTGTGCATTTGACAATATAGTATCAATATATGAGTCCTGAAGAAAATCTCCATTAATAATTGCTGTGTGAACCAAGCTGTTTAACAAATGGAATCACTGGCTCTAACATGAAGAAATCATCAAAGCAGAAAAAGCTTAGATGGCCAGATAACGGTTGAACAAGTCCAAATGCAATGGTTTCCACCTCAATTGATATGAGTCAGATACGGCTTAAAGTCTTCAACCCCATTTGTTGGCTCAAAAGCTACAACTTTGTCATTTCTTGCAATCATTAGGAACCTTCACCAAATTACCAATTTTTTAGCACAAGTGGTGGTGGCATGTTACTTTTCATATTTTTATTTCATCTATGTGTTCTGTAAATATAAGAGACTTATCAATTATATATATAAGCTGGCAAGTGATCAACCAAAAAGTAATTCTCCACTCTTCTTTTCTTTTTTTAATAATTCTCCACTCTTTGTTCCTATCTCACCATTATTCATCCAATTTCTTGTCTACCTGTTTTGTTCCTATTCCTTGACTGTAGGCTTATGTGAGAAATCCGAAATTATATATATATATATATTTGTAAAGTATACTACAAATTTAAGTCTATAACACTAAAGAATTAAGTCTGTTTCAATAAATTCAAAATTGTAAGAGAAATTGGTTGTTTAGATTTTTTATTTTAAATTTAATATATTAACTAATAAGAAAATGACTACAAAGTAAAATTATATACATTATTAAGGATAATTTTATAATTTTACGAGCATAGTAGCCTCAGTCCTCTCTCCGCATCTATTTTTGAGGTGTTTTTTATTCTCGTTCATTTTACTGTGAAAATAATAATAATAATAATAATAATAATGATGATAAATTATCCAAATTTGAGATCCCCAATGAAAGAGTTTAATCCGTAAATCCTAAAGTAAAGAGGAATTACAGGATCAGGAGGTACGTGGCCCATAGGTTATTTATGGTGAGTCCAAATCCAATTCCCATTATCAGGTCACATTAAGAAATAATCTGGCATCATTTTTCTATTGAAAAAATTGTGTGTCATTTTAAAAGATGTAAAGTTATATTATTTTAAGTGAGAGAAAAAGATAGATCATGGAAAGGAAGAGTGGACAAACAAAATTGTGAGTCTCACCTTTTTGTGAGAGTAAAATGACACAAATTATATCATTTAGAAGCACAAATACTTTTCCCATTTTCTATTGGTCTTTACGTAATCAAATGTAATGATATTTTGCATGTTATATGATCCGATCGGATTTCATTTCAATTCAAGTTGAAATTTCAAACCGCTTTAATGATTCCAATGCCAAAAACCATGTTCAATCATATCAAAACCGATAGTTTCTGTTTCTCCAGTAAGCTAAAATATGGATATAGCTGTGTCAAATATAAATTCAGTTGTCAACTTTTATATTTTGTTAATTTCAATTTGTATGTACGACTTAAAATTATTTATAATTATGAAAATTAGTTAAAGAGAAATAAAAAAATACTTCAAATTTGTAATGCTCATTCTCTTTCAATTTATCGTATATAATTTGTGTTGTTTATTTTTAATGTATTTATAACATCATTTCGAAAATTAATTAGTTATATCATAAATCATTCTCTTTGTTAATTATCTGATCAAATTAGTCTTTAAAATTTTATTATTTTGTAAAAGTTTTAAGAGTTGCTGTTCTAGAATCCCTTGTGCAATATTTCATTACTAATGGGCAGATTATACCCAATAAGAATGTTGTGTTTTTTTAATGAGAGAAACGGGGTTCGAATCCTGAGAAAAAAATTTAGATCAAAATTGGATAATTATTATGTCGCTTGGGAGTTGGGATTGGTGATTAGTCTTATATCTATGCGTCTTTTTTCCGCCTGGGTTATGAGATATGTAACAAAATCTAATTCGCTTCAAAGAAATAATTAAAATCATGGAATGGAATGAAAAAATAAATAATAATAATAATAATTCCTATTACACATTAACTTATATGTGATAAAACATCCAATAATTTTCACAATAACACTAATCAAAACAAGGAAGGGATGAAACTCAAACCTAATTTTTAACTTCTTATGTCTAACTTATATTGCCATTAGTTTGGTGGGCAGTGATGTTTACTTTAAAATAAAATAAAATAAATAATTGCTTAATAGGAACATTTGCTTGCTAGAGTTACAAAATAAGTGTCGTTTATCAATGTCAAGTAAACATGTGTCGTTACAAAATAAGTTGTACAATTGTGGCTAAAAATTAAAATAAATAATTTCTTAATAAGAACATTTGCTTGCTAAAGTTACAAAATAAGTGTCGTTTATCAATGTAAAGTAAACAATAGATAACTGCCGTTCTATGCTTCTGCAATATGCACACGTTAATCTCCCCAATAGGCCAACACTTTCTTTTCTTGTAAACCACATCCTTCCCCATAAGAGGAGGCAATAACAGTTCAAGTGTCACTTCACTTATTTTACAATCTTCGTATCTTACTAACACCCATCAATTATTAAATCAAACTCCTGCAAATAACCACAAATCTTTGGAGTGATTAAGAAGACAATGCTTTCTTAAGATCAACCACCATATCTAATTACAAGTTTTCTTAACAAAAGGAGATAGAAGAAACTTCTATCCATGGAGCACAAGAAATATGAAATGTAGTTGGCCTCCCTGACTAATATAAATAAGGTATGCAACCCAAAATTGTTTGAGAGCTTTGAAACTTGGGTTTAATTAAGCGGTTGAAAAAGTAGGTCTAGGTGAGTTATATTGGTCATCACATGGGTAACCAAATAGAAAGTTATTGCCTTATCTTTTCTTTGTGATCTAAAGTGTGTGTAGAAAAGCATCCAAGACTAGCTTTCCAACCACATAGTCATTAAAAACAGCTAAGTTTGTGTTGATGTTGCACTTGTGTGTTGTTACTATCAAACCCTTAAGAAAGTCTACAAAAAAATCCCACCTACACTTTCCTTTCTATTTTTGATTTTTCATTCTAGCTTCAACCCTTTGAAATGGCTTGTAGTGTAGGTTACATAGTTTTCCTTTTTCTATGATCTCATTGCTCATTTGCTTTCTAAACTTGAAGTTATTATTAATGCTGTGAAATGGTCGTTGTTTGTTGGATGGTCTTACATCTATCTTCTTATAATGACTAATCAATTATTTATAACGTCTAAAATTTCTACACCAACTATAGATATACCTCATATATATATATATATATATATATATATATATATATAGGAGAGAGATCATTTGACTCAAGAGTAAGACTTATAAGTCTTACTCTCCATCTTAATCGTTGATTTTCGTCCATCCAACGGTTATAATTTAGGAAGTTATATTAATTAATTAATTATTAATTATACTATTATTGACAACCGTTGATTTCCGTCCATCAACGGCTGGGATTTGGAGTAAGACTTAAAAGTCTTACTCTGGAGTAAGACATCAGTGTCAAATTTGAAGTTTGACACCTTATCTAAGAGCCGTTAGATCAAAAAAGATCAACAACTCTGATTTGTAAATATGTGACACCATTAATCTTTTTTTATCTAACGGTTATCAGATGAGGTGTCAAACTTCAAATTTGACATCGGTGTTAAAGGATCCTACCTTATATATATATATATATAAGGGTTCGCTTTTTCTGCAGTTACTGCAGATAAGTTATCTGCAGTAAGCCCAATACGACGTCGTTTTGGACGGAAATCATGATTTTTTTGTAATTTTAATTTATTTCAAGGTTATAATAGTCTTTATAATTATAATTTTTAAATATTTCAATCTCAAAACGACTTTGTTTTGAGAGTAAATGCAGATAATTTATCTGCAGTAATTACAGAAATATTTTGCTATATATA